ATCCAACAGGGCGGCAAGAATATTGCGGCACGACGAGGTCGGTTTAGGCGGGCAAAAGTTTCTGGTCCCAAGAAATACCGGAGCTCGCCAGGACGAGCGTGAGCGTGAGCGTGAACCTGAGCGTGAATCCACTGGCGTGCGCGAAGAGGAGAGGAAGCGGCTAGTGATCTCCTACGGTACCCCGAGTTCGACGACTGGATCGACGATTCCAGTTTCCCGTTCTTCGCAAGTTTTCCAGGGTCAGAACCTGCGTCGCTCAACAGGCACTTTAAGACAGTTGGTCGCATCCAGCAGAGAGCCTGAGTCCGGAGAACTGTTTGGCGACGAGGATGCCCTAGCGGACTATGAAGCGAATGTCTTACTGAGGAACATGGTGCTGTCAAACATGTACGCTCAACTAATGCCGATCGACAATTCCGTGGTGCCGAATTTTTCTCTCAACGGCCAAACCAAGAGCAGTCAAACCAAGGCCCGGACGACCAAGTCGACCACGACCAAGTCGACCACGACCAAGTCGACCACAACCAAGTCGACCACGACCAAGTCGACCACGACCAACAGGTCAAACAGTGCGGCAACCTACGACTCAAATCTCGACGGATTTTCCTTCAGTGCAGAAAGTGAAGAAGACTTGGGTGGGGAAGGAGAGTCTTGGGAAGATGGGCAGTTGCCGCGGTTTTCTAGTACCTATTTGTTGGGGCTCCATATGGAGATTATTGAGCCTCCGCCGTTTGTGAGCGAAGAGGTGCTTAAAGTCATGTTGCAGGCCGACCCGCTTGTGGATGGAGTCTGGTATGATGACATCGTAGAAGGCCAGCCAAGATCAAGAGGAGGCGACTCAGTGGGCGGATTTACAGTGACTGGGTCCTACGACCGGTGGAGGCAGGGGTCTGTAGCTATGGCTGGATTCGAACCCATGGGTGGGTTCGAACCCATGGGTGGGTTGGGGATGATTTCGCGGCCCGGTGAAGCGCGAGTGGAGAGTGGCGAGGGGTCGTCGGAATTGTTGGAGTCGGGTGAGATCGTGGAGGATCCGGAGTACGAGGAGTACGACACGTCTGCGGCATTTCGTACGTTGCCGATGGTTAGTTCTTTGAAGGCGTGGCAGTCTTCAGGAGCACTGGATTTGTTTATTCCGTCGGCTGAGAGGTGGGATAATTTGTTTGCAACGCCCGAGCTGGACGACTTGGAGACGAGCTTTGTGCGGTCGGAGGGACCGTGGGAGGGTGGGTCAGAGCGTCGGTCCGAGAGGAGTTGGTCTTTATCAGGTAATGGGACCCGAGCGAGTGCGACGAGTGGCCTCAATTTCAATGACCGGTATTACCGTCATCAGTGGGCGCATCATAAGCGTGCCGGAGTGCAGAGCGAGAAGGGTTGGGCCCAATGGACGGGAGAGAACACGAGTTACGTGGTGGCGTTGATTGATTCGGGAGTGGATATCGACCACCCGGATTTGCGGACGCAGTACTGGCGTAACTCTGGTGAGACGGACTGTTTCAACGGCATTGATGACGACGGGAATGGATACGTGGATGACTGTATTGGATGGGACTGGATTGACCATGATAACCTGCCACAGGATGAGAACGGACACGGTACGGCGAGTGCAGGTATTATCGCTGGTGTCCCTAACAATGAGATCGGGATCGTGGGGTTATGTTGGGGATGTAAACTGATGATTTTGAGGACATTGGACAAGGATATCCGGGGCACAATTTCGGGCTTTATTAAGGCCATCGACTACGCCATTCTGCAAGGGGCCAAGCTTAGCAACAACAGCTACGGAGGTCGCGGCAGCAGCTACGCTTCCCTCCTGACCGCCGTCAAACGGGCCCGCAACAGCGGCATGATTTTTGTCGCGGCCGCCGGAAACTACGGCTCCAACAACGACCATACCTTCGCGCAACCCACCTATCCCGCTAGCTACAACGAGACCAATATTATCTCAGTGGCAGCTAGCGATCAGAACGGCAATCTCGCGCCTTTCTCTTGTTACGGCCGAAAAAGTGTGGACCTAGCTGCACCCGGAGTCGGAGTCCTCAGCACCACCCTGAACAAAAAATATGCCCAGGTTGATGGCACCTCCTTCGCCACTCCCTACGTCACCGGCGTCGCCGGCCTCATCCTCTCCCGGGAACCTTTCCTCGGCTACCAAGAAGTCGTCCGCCGCATCCTATCTTCCGTCACACCCTTTCCCCAACTGAAAGACCGACTCAAGTCTGGCGGAATCCTCAACATGGGCGATGCGCTCGCTGCCGGCGGCCCCCACCAGCCTACACCTTCCTGCTCCCAAGACCTCTGCCCCGTCCACAGCGACTGCGTCAATACACACCTCGGCGTCCGCTGCCGCTGTCATCCGCACTTCAAGCACGTCTCCGGCAAGTGCGTTGCCGAATGCCGCTTCGATTCCGACTGCGGAATACACGAATTCTGTGGAGACTCCCAAATTCTAGGCAAAAATGGAGAAAGCACACACGTGTGCGAATGCCAACTAGGCTTCGCTCGCGACAATGAAGGTTGCTACGACCGCAACGAATGCGTACACCGCGACATATGTCCCTCAGAAAGCATCTGCGTCAACAACGCTGGCGGCTTCGACTGCCTCTGCCCCGACGGATTTATTTGGAACGGAGTCCCTTGGGTCCGCAATGGAGCTCTCTGTCAACCAATGCGTAAGAAGTCAATAGTCCAGATCACGGGAGGATGGCCCGGGCCCGAGCCCGAACCCGAGCCCGATGAAGAGTTAGTAGTGAGTTGGAGCGGTAGTGGGTGGAGCGGCAGCAGGTGGAGTGGTGGCGCCAGGTTCAGTTTCGGGTAGCAGCACTGTTAGGGATTCCGTCACCAAAGGCAGCGCCGCCAGAGGCAGCGCCGTTAGAGGCAGTTCGGTAGAAGCAGCGCCGCTAGAAGCAACGTCGAGAACGCCATCAATTTTCCTTCATCCTCAGCAGAAGTGCACGTGCGGGCGAACGACCTGGGAGGAGGCGAATTTCCTGACTGCAGACTCTCTCGCTGCGCCATTGCAGGTAGCGTTTGCGAGCCGGACGAACTTAGTCAGTATAGCTGCCGTTGTCCTCTGGGCACTATCTTGACTGACGATTCCGTCTGTCACAGATTCGACCTATACCTTCCGCAAGACAGCCACGCCGTTCTTCCAGCCTTCCACGGACCAGATTTCCACACAGCAGACATGGAGGAGAGCATTCGCGTAGAGAACGCCCTCATCGACTCCTTCATCGACTCGCGCCCGGGCTTCCCGACAGCTTCGCCCATGGCCGGGCCACCCATGGCAGGTTCGCCATCTCTGCCGGCGCTCCAGCAGGTGCTACCGCCGCCATTTGCACCCGGCCACGTCGGCGACATTTTCGCGCCAGCAGGGCGACAGCCAGGTTTCCGCCCTACACTGCCGGCGCCAGGACCTACCGGACCGAGCTATCACTCCGCCGGACAGCTGCCTCCGACGCTCCAGCAGTCGCCGTTCGGTTCTCCGTCGATGCCCGTGCCCGAGCTGACCTACCCGCTGCCAACCCCATCCCCGAACGGCCGACTCCCTCTCTCTCTCACTCCTCCGCAGCCACCCCCTCCGCCTCTGCCACCTGTGCCTCCGCCCTCACCCTTGGCGCCGTCAGGGATCGTCTCGTCCTCAGGGATCGTCTCGTCCTCAGGGAACGTGTCCCAGCAGCCGGTACATCAGCAGCCCGTCCATCAGCAGCCCGTCCATCAGCAGCCGGTACATCAGCAGCCCGTCCACCAATCTGGGCACTACCCCCCCGGTCTCTCCACGAACAGCGAAGCGAGTTTCAGAGGACCCTCGCCGCCGGGTTTGGTTACGCCGAACGGAGTGGTGCCCATCAACATGATCCCCACTGCGCAGCGGCCCTCTCCAGCGGCACAGCGTCCGTCGCCGGCACCGCCGCGGCCCCCTTCCTCTCCTCCGCGGCCTTCCTCTCCAAACGGTCCGGCCCGGCGAAGAAACGGGCTCAACCGGAAGGGGCGGTCCTAGCCAGTTGAGGGTATCGTCCCCGTGGCGGTACCCATGGTGGTACCCGTGGCGGTATCCGTGGCGGTCCCCGTGGCAGTACCCGAGGCAGTCCCCGAGGCAGTCCCCGAGGCGGTCCCCAGGGCGGTACCCATGGAGGTCTTGCGTTTCTGGATAGTGAGCCTCCTCTTCGGGGAGGGTCTTCCTCGTCCCGGGGCGGCGGGCCGCCCCCCACTCAATGGTCTCCCTCCTCCCGGTGGTCTCCCTCCTCCCCGTCTGTCGACGAAAGGACCTTCTGTTTCAAGTCTCCGGATTGGAGGTCGTCCCCGGGGTCTTGCTCCCGGCGTGGTCGGCGTCGGTGGCGGTGGAGCCGGGCTGAGTCCTCCACCATAGTGTTGTCGTGGGTTGAGCCGGGGTCTTGGTGTGTGTTCATTGAAATTAAGGGTCATTCGGGTAAGGTCCTCAAGCGCCGGCTGCATCTCAGTCTCCAACGCCACCCGATCAAACTGCCGCACAACCACGCTTTGGCAATCCATGAAGCTGTTTGAGTTTTTAACTATGAACTCCCAAACACGCACGGCTCGATCGTAAGGGTCAACCAAATGCTCCGGCCAAATCAAGTTTCTCGGCGACTCACCCACCCCCGGCCCGGTACTCCGTCCACCACCTGGCGGCGCAAGAAAGTCTGGGGTTCGCCCTGTCGGGGACCGTCCTGTCGGGGACCGTCCTGTCGGGGACCGTCCTGTCGGGGTCTGTCCTGTCGGGGTCTGTCCTGTCGGGGTCTGTCCTGTCGGGGTCTGTCCTGTCGGGGTCTGTCCTGTCGGGGTCTGTCCTGTCGGGGTGTCCTCAAGGGGGCCATGCACCTCAAGAAGACCGTCCACCTCAAGAAGACCGTCCACCACCAGCTGGTATGAGCTCAAGTCTGAGTACGAGTTTTCTTCTCCAAGCACCTGCTTCTCCATGTCCGGATACGATGCCCCCGCAAGCAGCTGCTCCTCCACTCCCGACTGTTCCACCTCCGGGACCTGCTTTACTACCTGGGATTGCGCCATTCCATGAACCTGACCAATTTCTTGCTGACCAATTTCTTGCTGCTTCTTTCCGGAGTGGGGCAACAGATATGTCCGATCGCCCCCGGAGTAAGCCGTGTCTTTCCGTTCCAATTTGATATTCTCTGTCTTGGCCTCTGCTTTCCGAACTTTGCGTTTTGATGTGAATCTAAGTCTCTTCTTTTTTTTCCTTTTTCTCGGTTTAGTTTTAACAACGACCTTAAGCTCATCCTTCGCAGCATTCAAACCCCCTTGGTCTTGAGGGTGCTGAGTAAGCCCAAGGTCGGACTGTTCACTCGGAAGATCACTTGTTTGATGGCTGGCTTGTTCGCTGGGGCTGGCTTGTTCGCTGGATACTTCACTGAGCAGTCCATTCACCTCGCGTTCTTCTTTTTGACGTTGTACCTCCGTGGGTCTGCCATCAAACCTGGGTCTGCCATCAAACCTGTGCAAACCGTGATCTGTGAGAAGCATGTCGTTCAGCCAGTCATGGTGGCTGATCGGTGCCTCCACATATGGATGGGCGTAGTGCATGTTGTGTCTGGACAGAAAGTATAGAGGGGACCGCCACGTCAACGAGTGTTTGTACTGATGTCTTCCGGTTTGTAACAATCGGGTCAAGATGGGCATCCCAAAGGACTCCACCTGTGCGTCGACCATCTCATGTAACTGCATAGTCACTTCCTACAAGAACGCAAAACTCTCAATGTAAACTCTCAGTGCAAACTCTCCACACCCAGGAGCTCAATTCTGTGGTAAGTTGTCTCTAAGAATGTCCCCGTCGAAAAGTGAAACCTCTTCACGCAAAGCGAAGTCTCTCGCAAGCGAATCCTAAGAAGGTCTAAAGCCAATCCTGGGTCTAAGCCTTACTCTTAAATCGTAAATAGACTGCATGTATAGATTAGTAAAATCCGTACACATTTTCCACTCTGGTTTTTTGGACCTCGTGGTAAGAGACAGCTAAGAAAGAACCATGGGGGCTCAGTCCTAGGTCTCGGCGGCTGACCTTTGTATCTGGCTGTCCATTCAGGACGATTACTGTACACGAACAATTGGTATAAATTCGTTCGCACGTATGGGTAAATAAACTGGGGCGCCGCGGGTCCTAGCAGAACACAGTTAACTTAGTTGATCCAAGCTTGATCACACGAGTTTAACCTAAGGGGTTGGAAATCGCGGGGTTGAAGACTAAGACAAGCCCAAGAGATCCTAATCGTCAATTGAGCACAATTACTGGTCACACTCCATAAATCAGGTAGGTATTCTGAGAGATGGTCTTTAGACGGTCTAGATCAGTTCTAATTTTTAAACCTGGCAGACTTGTGGGCTGTGTGGTAATCCGACCGGCAAGTTGCTAATCCGACCGGCAGGTTGCTAGGCCAGTAATTCTCTGAGCAGAAGTTATTGATCTAGGTCGTCATCGCTCGATGCAGTGGTTACAGCCGCTGCGGCGTCTTCCACAAGGAAAGGCATCTCATCGTCAAAGGCCATGGCCGCGAAAAAGCGACTTATAACTCCCAAGTTATCAATTCGGGTAAACGGTGACATTCTCATTTTGTGCGTCTTGGAATCGTGCAGGGCCAGGTCCGCTGACGACGAGTCAGTAAACAGATCCACACTGAACCAATAGTCATGCCGGTAACAGAAATAGTTCTTGAAGGCGTGAATTTTTGTGTTGAAGTCTTGTCCGTCATCAGCCAGCTCCACCTTATCATTCATCAATCTAAAAAATCGCCGGTCATAAAGACCATTCTTCGTCTGCATGGTCTTCACCTAAAATACATGGTAGCGAAGCGCCACAGCGATGTACACACATTGTATATACACAGTGTGTATATATATACAGTTGGTTGTGGACATGTGTTCGACACACGTGTTCGGCGCATGTGTTCGACGCGCGTGTTCGACACACGTTTTCAGTACGCATTTTCATGTGTATGTTTGTTTCGGTTCTATACGGGTGCATGGGATTTATGTATCGGTAGTATGGGCAGTTACCTCATAGACTATGTTGGGGTAAGAGCCATTGCGAGAGAGCAGGGCTTGAAATATTGTGTCCTTTCGAAGCCTCCGATGGTGCATTTTGACGACGTCCTTACAGCAGAAGGGGGTCCAGGATCGGGGGATAGGGTCGTTGATCCGTTCGTTTTCCCTTTCACCTGTGTAGTAGTCGATAATGAGACTACGTGCGATTTGGGACTGAAGGGGTGGTAGGGCTTCGTTCCAGGAAATCCAGAATTTCCGTCCTCGTACTTCGGCCACTGAACACAAAGAGCAATCCACGCTCGGATAGACTGCCAGAATCAGCGGCGTTCGCGGCGGTAAAGGGTAGCGGCAAATAGGTCCCGATCGGCGTCTGCCACATCCGCACTTGTCCATCGGCCGCGGCTGAACATACCTTCGTCTCGATCCAGCTGCGCAAGTAACCAAATGCACATTTGCGACCATACTTGTACTTGCGATCGTGTCTGCACTTGCGATCGTGTTTGCACTCGCGATCGTGTCTGCACTTGCGATCGTGTTTGCACTCGCGATCGTGTTTGCACTCGCGGCAGTCGACAAGCCTGAACAGACCGATTCGGGAGAGTTCGCCCCCTCTTCGACATAGTCGCGCGAGTACTCTTCAACACAACTCTTCACGCAAGTCTTGACGCAGTCATTCGAACTACCTTTGGAACACGTGCAAGCCACTCCAGCTTCCGCACAGCAGACGGGCTCCCCGTGGTCCATGTCGAGAACGATTGTAAAGAACTGTGACGAGGGAACTTCGTGCACCGTCAGACCGGTGCAACCCTTGAAAGGGAGCGCAATGAACAACGATGCCTGCAGCAACAGTAGACAGTGCGCGACCAAATTCTGGAGCCGCTGCTGGACTGACGAACTTGGCTTCTTCGGAAACAAACGATTCCGGTAGTCTTTCCATTCGCGCTTACTCAACAAAATCGGCTGAGCTACGGGGGTGTGGTGCTGGGACACGAAGTCTGAATCGTCAATAAACGAAGGCTCGTTGTACAAGTCCAGCATCATCAGCGACAGGCGACAATGCAGAAGAAAGAAAAAAAAAACTCAATTCTCGAAAAGGCCGCATGGGTGCGAGGTTCAACCTAGCTCGAAAATGAGCCAACTGGCACCATCAGCGATACGAACGCTGGTGGTGATACGAGCGTTAGTTACACCAACAAAGGAGCTTTCTAAAAATACCAAGCCCGAGTCGGGCTAGGATGAGACGGACAGTTTTATAAGATGATCCATGAACGTTTTCATGTTGACATCCTCAGTCAAGATGGCTGTTCCTCGACCGTCGTCCCCTGCGCCGCCATAACTGTCATAACCGGCTCCTTGTTTGTGCGTGCTCGAAGGATTCACCCTGGCGAGAATGAATCTTTCCTGACTGCCGCCAGCATTGCAAGAAATGAACTTCGGGCAAGGGATTCGGGACTTGAGTAGCAGGTTTGCGTGCATCTGGGGTAGCTGTAACAGAGCCTTTAGGTTCTGGTATTGGGGCAGCAGGTGATATTGGCTTTCTACCCACTTGTTGATCAGTGAACCATGCCAGATGATCACGT